TTGATAACTCTGTATAGTTGCAGTTAAAAGCAAGACTTCCAAAGCAGACGATTTTTATAGCAAAATAAAATCGTGTAAAAATGTCGAACAGCCTGCCTCAGTATAATTTGCATGCGTTTTTGTATTTAATACCTCGTTTTTATTGCAATTTAAAGTATACGTTTATTGTTTGTGTTTCTTGGATACTGTGGCTTTTACACGTGAAAATGTTAATGCAGTTTTGGTAACATTATACTATTAAACTCATTTTTTACATTGTATTCTTTTGCTAACTCTCTTTTTTTTTTTTTTTTTTTTTTTTTTTTTTTTTTTTGACAATTCTCGTAATGTTTGGAACGTATTTACAATTGCTTTCTTGAAATCACGGCAAATAAACGTCGCAAGATAGATTACAAATGATGTGGGAATAAAAATTTTTCATGAAGTTTTATGCGGTTTTTAAAAAGAAAAGTTCTCATTTATTAATCCAAATTTTCCTTTGAATTAATGAAATAGTCATCGTTACCCGCTTACTCTTCTACATCATCACACTAAATTCGAATACTTTCCAGACAGATTATTCTAAAAGACTTCTTAAATTTTTGCCACAAGTTGCTCTTTTGTTGGAGTTGCTTTTAAACAATCACAGATTCGAATTCAGATCGCAGACGGAAAATCACATTGCAAAATCGAAGATTTTCTACTTCAAAAGCAACTTTTTATCTTAAATTTTAAATTATTAAGATATTAATTAAAGACAAATTTTAAATTTTAGTCAACAGATAAAATAAATTTAAAGCTGTGCTCGCCATTACTTTCCTTAACTTAGTGTTACTGCTCAGATTTCATCAAGATTTAAGGTCCAAACAAATTCAACTTTATATTTGGCATTGATATTAAAAGAAACACTCGACATATTTCAAGTTATTTTGTCAAAATTGGAGGAGGAAACAACCTTTAAAGACATTGAGAATCTTTAAGAAACATATTTAGTAACATCCAGATATATAGTTTATGGTGAAGGAACTTCAAGTATGAATTTTATCAACTGTATACAAAAATAATCATTGCCGCTGGAAATAACTTTTTTTCTTTTTTTTCTTGGTACAGTGCTGCCATCGCTTGGATATCGTTGAACTTCTTAATCAAAAACTCATAAATGCTTTACAAAATATGAAATAGATTATAAATTAAATTCCTTTCCTCCAGGAATATGGGCTTCCAGATGTCCATATTCGTGTGGTGACGTACGTGATTCAAAATTTGGTGCCTCTAGGTACCGTTGTAGTATCACAATGCGAGAAACATACATACATTTAAGCAGATTTTTCATTTTTAAATTTCTTTAAATATAATACAGGGCGATAATATTTGGTGGCAACAATTTGAAAAGTGAAACGCCGTTTATAGCGAAACGCCACAAAATACCAAAACGAAATTAATAGCTCTTCTGGGCTAATGCCCTTTGGGCTGACAATGAATAAAATAGGATGATGTGCAACAAAAATAAATAAAGAACAAAAGTAGTACGAGCAACAAAAATGAATAAAGAACGAAATATCAAAAGACTGTTCTTGGCCAAACCAAGAAAGAATAAACCAAGAGGAAGGCCAGAATTAACACGAGCAACCTATGATAATAAAAATTTTAAATGCTAAGAACTGGAGAACCGCTGAGCACGATGGAATATAATAATTGAGAAAGCGAAATTTCGCATTGATGCGTTGTGCCAAAACGTTTTCCAAAACTGGTCGTTACTTTGTCTCTCCTATTTTCTTAATTTAAAACTTTCACATGATCCACTTTCTTATCTGCAGTTGGAAATGATTACTCTATACAGCAAAATTTTCACTGCTTCCAGAATTATAAATGTTTACAGCAATTAATTTAATAGTAAACCTTCTGAAAGTGGCACTTAGATAATAAAAGCAATGCACTCCTAGCTAAAATTTCTTGACAAGTACGTGACATTTTTATCACCACTTTTTTTTATAACTATTCATTCAAATAAAACATTAAATTAGTCCTGCATATCTGCCTAAATTTAACAAGCAGCAAAATATACAACAAATGCATTCAAGTCATTAATCTTTATACATACTTATGCTACGGCCACCCATTGTGTACTTGGCATAACTAGTTTAAGCCATTTTTGAAGCACTTAAATTTCACGAGGGGCTAATAACTTGCTTCACCTTCACAAGCACATGACAACTGAATGCTTGTTATGAAAAGTGAATTTTTTCCTCGGAACAAACACTCTTAAACGAAAATAGTTTGAAGCACGAACAGCTAAGGAAGGACGAGAAAATTACCAGCGTTGGAATCCTTGTAGTTCATTCACTGTACCACTTGAATGGATGAAATTGCGTATTTACTTTGCTAAGCGTGGTTAATTACGAATTTCAACACAGTCCGAGATCTCTAGATATTGAAGTTAAAAGCGTGGGATATTAACGCGATAAGCATCCCCGAGGGGCTCCTGAAATAAGGCAGTACTGATTAATAATTGGAACATTGATAAAAAGATAAAAAATACAGGATATTTGCAATTTTGATGCTTTTCGTTTCTTCACTGAATTCATAGCTCTCAATAAATATAAAATTTCAGAGCATTATTATCAAAATTAAAACATATATAATTAAATTTCGGAGTCGCAAGTACGATTCATCTATGAGTTACAGAATAAAGAGATTAATAAAGTGACAATATTCCCTTACCTTATACACCATAACTTGGTTAGTTACGTTTATCTTTCTAATAATTAAATTTTAGTTCTGCGCTTTGCTTTTCCTGTTGACTTCTGTCACATTAGCACATTATTTTAGAATTAGCTAATGTGACTTCTGTCACATTAGCACATTATTCTGTCACATTGTCACATTATTTTAGAAGTCCAGTGAAAATTTTAACTACCAAATTTTAATATGAAGATTATTTCTTGCTTCTGAAAATGAAATTATTTGTATTATTATTCTCTGACTTTGAGCTCTCTAAATGACAGCTGACAATAAATTTTAGCATTTGCAAGAGTGTGTTTTATCAGCCAATTAAGCTGTAATTGTCAGCTGTTTTATATTACTCGTGGCAATTGTACTTTAATTTGTACTGTATTTCATTTTAAATACTTTTACTCCAGTTAATGGCAAAAAAAAATTTAATCATACTTATTAAATCAATAGGTGTGAATTTAATTGAATAAAACTGGTACGTCATTTGGTATGATTAACATTGAAATAAAACGCAATATTTACATAAATGACGTAATTTCGATGAATTACAATATTTACATAATTTCGATCAAAGTTATATGATGTATTTAACTTTCTCAATTTGTGCAATGCCTTCAGGTGTTGAAAGTCATTATACGGATTGTTATTCATTCTGAATCATTTTGAATTTCCTCGAAATCCGTACGTAATTTAGACATCTAAAGAAGGTTAGTCAAAACTGGATAACTGGAGAATCTTCGCTGCACGAGTTTGAACTACATCAAAACGCCGCAACAGCAACAAGAAATATTTTCCATACTAAAGCACTAAAGAGAATAAGGTAATGCATACCCTCGACGATCAGCCAGTATCTGATATGCCATAAACAGTGGATTCTAATGCTGTGAGCCAAGCCGTAAAAGAAATCCAACAGTTAGCAACATGAGAAAACTACGTGAATGAAGATATCACAGAGTACCATGATTTAACAACTGCATGACTTCTGCAAGATCAACAAAACGCTCTGTACGTAAAAATCGCAAGAACTTCCGTTGGACATGTTTCATTACCGGAAATGTTAGAGGGCTGAAAAATGGGTCTGGTTCCAAAATCCATGTATACAGAAGCAGTGGTTGAATCCGTCCCATCCTATTCGTATTCCAGGTTGAAGTATCACTTACAGAAGAAGTGGGCCAAGGATCAGAGCAAGCCATATATCGACAGTATAAGGTACATCTACATGATGTACTATATAGTGTCAGTTCGATGGCTTCAAATTTTTGGAGAATTTTTTTAAGTTCTGAGTTGTGAAAGGAGTATGAGGTTTCATGTTATCTTATGGTAGAACAGCGCACTTTTCTGTTCACGAATGTCGAGTAGTTCTACTCCGAAACGGCATTTATCCATTCTAGTTTTTTAGAATGCATGTGGGCATTTATGATGAAGACACAGTGGATTCTCAAACTTCCATAAGAATGCTCACATTCTGTTCGAAGAATCAACTTTTGGCAACAGATTCAGGAAGCTCAGGGGAAAATTTGGTTTATTTAATTTAATTACGGCAAAGCCCTCCGTGGCTCTCTGTCTAAGGAGAGAAATGATTTCATGGAGAACGTTTTAAGGAAAATTGGCTCGCACACAAGTTACGCACGGGAAAAACCACGAAAACTCCCATTTAGCCAGCCAGTTTGCAGGGATTCGAACCCCGGTCCGAAATACCACTGTTCAGCGACTTTTAGCAAGGCCAATGGCAAGTTCCTCTCAGGTGAAAGGGTTCTTCATCTCCAAGAATAAAAAATGATACCACCGTAGCATCAAAGATTGGGCGAAAAAAGATGGCTTAAGAGAGATGGGTAACACTTTGAACGCGAAGGAGCTTTCGTAGTAAAGTTAAACACTAAGAAATGAAGTAATCAAAATTTTGCAAAACGTTTGTCTCAGCTTAATAATTTCGAGTCGCGTGTATAATGACTCGAAATATAGCGTAAAAAAGCATAGTGTAGCTTACGATGGATGATACTACACATCTTACACTAGTAAGATGTGAGACTTCTACTAAAATTGCATATCTTTACTTATACACCAAAATATCTATGAATGTAATCTATTATTTCTAATTAAAGTAGAAATTAAATTCATATGATCCCTGCATACATTATATATAACTGTTATAGCATGCAGTGGCTATTAATATGCGGCTGTTATTGTCTTTTGAAACAAAACAATATTTGTTTATGTTCAATATTAATATATTAAAATCACACGCAGAGAAGATAGCTATACATAAATTTGGGGAATATGATACATACCTTGCGAAAAATGATGCCGCCGCAGATGGTTGTGTGATGCCAAAAGGTGAGTTCCCACATGGAGAACTGTATGAGGTTCCTTGCAATAGTGAGTGCTGAGAGCACCCTCCGAAGGACAAGGAATGAGGAAAATGCTTCGACGAAGACAAAATCACAGCCCTTTCTCCAGCACTAAGGGCGACATACGGATCACTGTGCTCACTGTAACCGCTTGATGGAGAGGTCAGCGGTGGCACGCGAGCCGATGCATGCCGTCCCAAATTTAGCGCCACCCCACTGGAAGTGGATGAGGTGCTGGGAACTCTGGCGTGACTGTGATGGTGGTGGTAGGCACTGGGACTGTCGGATGTCGAAACTACGTTCGATATCGGTAGAGGAGGAATCTGAAGGACAAAAAAAAAGTAGTAAGCATGTAATTTCCTATCTACCAATTACATAAAACTATGATTATTAATATACACTTTTTCGGAAAAAAATGTGAAACAAGTAATATTCAAGAAAAGCAACTGCATGGTCTACAGTTATTGCAGAAGCTACAATATATAAAAAAGGCGATAAATTACAGATACATTTGCTCGCAAAAAATGCGTAACGGCATAAATCGTTCTCACTACGTAGCTAGAACACCATTCTTGAATTACATAAATTCCCACGGGATCTTCAAAGTTTGAACAAATGAATTATTTTAATTATCATATCCATGTTCAATGTACCAAAAATGCTTAAAAATTATGGTTATTATTGTATTTTGGATACGTGGTATACTTGGCTGTTGCTCGACGTATCGATTACGGCTCTAAATCTCCCACGCTCTCATTCCTTTAAAATTAATACTTTAAATCTCCCGATATTGCTGCTTCAACAGGGACATTTGAATGCCACTGTAAAATACTAACTCCTACGCGATAAAAGCAGTTTCACTCTATCCTTGTACAGCATGCCGATATACAACTGCTCTGCTCTCCGGAAGCCCTTTAAAGGCGCCCCTCCCCCACTTTAAACAATCCAAGGTATTTGGGTCGGCCTTCGAGATTAAACGGCACACGGGTAAATGTTGACACAGAGAGTAATGAAATTTCAGAAGCCCGAGACTTTCAATATCCTTCTCTCTCTCTCTTCTCTGGTTGGGTTCCCTCAGGACATATGTAAGGATGGAAAGCAATTGCTAGACGATATTGTTCGGGTTCGTGACACTGGTTCGGAGCAGAAGTGGCACGCTCAGGGATGATTCTGTTAGCTTGAAATGCGTCAGATTAAAGTTGAGTGGTTCTAGTAAAGTAGCTAAGAAAATATGTGAGTTCGGAAGAGATTTTCTTAGTCATTCGTACAACTTACTTTGGATCGTTATAGCGTATTTTTTTCGTTCCACCGTATAAGTAACTATACAAAAGTCCCCGATTATAAAACTACTATGTAAAAACTATAAAACATCAACTATAAACAGTCAAAAACTATAAAAAATATTAGTCAATAGCCTCAATATACTTATATCTAAAATTTCTTTTTAGAATGAAAATGAGAATTTGCAGAAATAACGCATACAATTTTTATTTCATAATTATCTACTTAGGGAAAACAGAACCATTATAAATTGAAAATATTTCACGCAATTTTTAGCACGTTCTGATTTGAAACACCCCTATTTAATACATATTTTTTCCTTTAATGAAGTGTTTCTGAAACAACAAGTTTTCCTCGAAGCATGCTCTTGTAGTCTGATTTTTAAATCCCATTACTAGTGAAAACAGAATATTGTAAGCTGTAAAACGGTGCTTATAAAATTATAATTCACTCTACTTCTATTATCTATGTAAAAAAAAAGGTTTTCATCGTTAACTCGAATAAAACCAAAGAAGCGAAATCGACTTGATGTATTACCGATCCCAAACATAAGCGTGTCAGCATACATCCAAACACGGAGCAGCTATGCATGAATCGGGAGGTTTATCCATGTCCTTAATGCAAGTACCCATATTTATTTTTAGATAATAAAATAAAGATTATCCAAACTCTAAAAATTTGAATTAATATAAACAAATTTGACTTTTCTTTTATTAATTTAATTTATTAATACCAATATAAAATAAAATGAATTTTAATTAATTTCATTTTTAAAATATGCTGGTAAGCTATGCTAAAAAATTGCTTTCGAAAGGGGACAAGAGTAATGGGATCTGAAGAACATTGTAATTTATAAGAATGATTCTCACTGGAAAAAAATCCAGATCCTTCCATATACGTGATTCCGCAGAGACTAAAGCCTCGAAACATGAGTACACGGTAAGAGGTCCTGGGACTGATCGAGATATCTGCATAACAATTTCGGGTTTTTTCCCAACCGTCACGATCTATTTCTCATAAACAGCTCGTTCACCAAGGATTCCATATTTTTAAGCAGACAGCCCTACATGATTAACCTTACTTATAAGTAACAGATCCTGAATACTGATGAACTGATCATAACTATATCGAAATCGCGCTCAACATTTTTCATTTTTCAGCAGTTTATCATTAATATTGGAGCGATAATGAAATTGATAAAAAGACTCTGAATCTTTGATTTTTAATTATTAAGGTATACGGTCAAGTTAGCTTTGTTTGATTAACGTTTGTAAGATCATAAAATGCATTTCAAATACATACATATTTTGTGTAAATACTTAGCATTAACATTTACACACGAAAACAGCCTGTCTTGTTGGAAAGTTCTATTTGATAAAGCAATACATTAAATTCTTAAGGTACATTAAAGCAGCAGCACCTGAACATTTTTTCTTGAGAACTATATTATATTCCAAACCAGAACGTCCTTTGAATTTCAGGATTTAATAAGCTTCCGAAAATAAAAGTTTTTATATCTGGATAACAGTTAAATGAAAAACCGCATAGCCTATTATATTATTTCTAAACGCAATGAGAAAAACGTTTGCCAATGAAAAATCCAAATGTTCTTACTGCTGCATCGCGAAGATATTCATTGAATTCTCAAGACCATTTTAATTAAGTCGTTAGGTGACTGCATATGTATAATTCTCTCTTTCAGATCTTTGGAACTAGTGTCAAGATGATTTGAACTAAAATGGTATAAGCATGATTACAATGACAATAACCGGAATAATTCAAATGATGGTTTTATTACGTTACGTACATATTGAAAGAATGCCATACAATGCTTCATAGATAAAACGTTAAATTTATTATAAGTTTAGATTTCAAATTATTCTACAAGAAATTTGTTCCAGTAAAATTCAATTGCAAAATGAAGTGTAAAAATAAAACTTGAAAAATACCTTTTCTAAGATATCCCTTTAAATAAATACAGAATTTAAAATGTTTAATATACTGATGCCAGATAATTATAAAATTGAATTACCTGGAAGCCCTAATCGATAAAGGTTCAGGCTTTCAACATATACAGAAAATTCTGGATCTTAATTCCTTATGAAATCTCGAATTATTTCATCTGATAAAATGGTCGGAAAGTCATGAAGCGTAATGTATATACTTGAAATTACTATTCCCTAAATAGGATATAAATTTCACCTTATCTGTATGCTTTTTTACAGTTGCTGTAAAGAGTCCACTTTTCCAAACTGCTTCACAAAATCCAATTATCTTTGGTTAATCAGAGTAGCGAGTTCTCACCGGCAGATTGATAAATAAGCTTAAATTTTCGATAAACAAGCTTAAAATTTATTAAACGCTGTTAGATTGATAAATAAGCTTAAATTTTCGATAAACAAGCTTAAAATTTATTAAACGCTGTTAAATTCCTTATACAAACTAAAAGAAGACAGCTGCATTAGGTTATTAAAAGAACACCTTATTTTCATAAGGCTGTAATCCGAGAGGTTTTTTAATTACGTTATTTTATTTAAAAAATAATAGTAAGAAACATCAGTATTTCAAATTTAAGCTTTACAGATTAAACCAAAATATTTTTGACAGAAATGTTGACACTATACTAAATAATTAAATGTCATATTAAAGATGACATTTAATTATGTAGTAATTATTTAGTCATTTTAAAGATGGCATTTAAATTAGGAAATTTAAATTAGGAAATAAATTTAAATTTATGAGTAACTATTCTGTTAGGAATTCCTAACAGAATAGTTACTGATAAATATTTTAATGACATAAATAGTGAAACTAACGTCTTTTTAGCACAACTGTGCATTAAAAATGTACAATGATTTGTTCTTATTTTCAGGTAATCTACACATTTGATCTTTTGAAATATAAAATGCAAGATCATAGTTTGGGATTCATATTATTTTTTTATTCACCACAGGTCAAATCTTCATTTTTAAATTCTGTCTTTGCCTCACTACCACTACTTTCGCTTACGTTCGATATATGCTTGCAAGATTGTTCTTAAAAACAATAATATGAGAAATAACAAATATAATTCAATAACTGTGTAATAACATTTCCTATGAAAGTAAAATCTATAAATGAGCTGAAAAGTGTACTTAAATAATTCGAAGGTATCATGTTCAGATTGCAGTTTATAGAGTCATCAAGATTTTTTGAAGCCGGAGACGTGAAAAATGAGCAATGCCCTCGCCAGGACTCGAACCTGAACCTCTCGAATACGCGTCGAATGTGTTAATCGTTACACCACAAAGGTATGCAGAAAGGAGGGAGAAAATACCTCATAAGTTGCTCGAATGCCTTTTCATTTCCTTTCGCGTCTGCATTTAAAATTTCCCATCATAATAACCGATACATCTCTGTATCTATATCAAACTATTCATCAATGAGCAAACTTGACTCTGAGTATCTCACAAGCGCACTAAAGAGAAACAATTTTAAATCGGCTGAATTAACTGACAGATAAATGTATACAGATGCCAAAATAAAACGTAACTGTCCATTAATTGTAATATCGACCATACACTTATCGCCGGCCCCTATTTTTTCTAGCCTTTTTCTACGGTTTATAATAAACAGAATTAAGTTACAATCCCTAATGCTGTTTAGTTTCCTGCAAATAGCCATGACACTAGCTTTTCGTTCTCTTTCTTCAGAACTACTTTTCTATTTCTTGTTCTTTTCATACATGCTTTCAATCCGAAACTCTGCACCTGGATAGGTTCATCCTTAAACATTCTAGTCTCGGACATCGCAATGAAATCAGACTCCTTTATTATTTCATCTGTTATAAGATTACTATAATGTGCATATAATGTGTGTTATATGTGTTATAATGTGTGTTATATGTGTTATAATGTGCATATAATAATGTGTGTATATGTGTATAATAATGCATGTTAATATGTGTTATAATGTGCATATAATGTGTGTTATAATGTGCATATAATGGTGTTAATGTGTTATAATGTGCATATAATGTGTGTTATATGTGTTATAATGTGCA